GCATCCTCTCTTGAAATGTATCGCTCTCATCAAAAGTATTTTTTCACTATAGCAGAGTAAGTTTGAAATTATGTAATTATAGAAGCTAGAAGTGTTTTTATTTCTCTGTTGAATCGGATGTGATAAATTCGATCTACTTTTCAATTAGAAATTCGTGAGTTTTTCGTTTGTTTTAGAAAAAGTGTTGATCAGGGGGGCTTAATTAATAATTTTCATATACTAAATGAACTTTATCCTTTTGCTAAAACACATTTTCTGAAACAGCATTCAATTCCCTGCAAGGTTACATTAGTTTTAATTTTTACTGACACATCTTGAGCCCTAAATAACAAATTTTCTCAGTGTCGTGCCTTTCTCATGAAAAGTACAGTCTTCTACGAAATCTGACTTTTGTAATGCGTTTTTTTCACTATTAAGGAGTTAATGAGAAATTCTCTACAGTAGATGGATCAATACAGTTTTGCGCAAACGACATTCTCATCTATTTAGTTTTCAAAAAGGGTTTTCTCCTCAGGTTGCAGTGCAAAATTAAAGAAAAAAGTGCTTTACAAAAGCATTGCAAGAGTATCTGTTTTTACACTTATCTTTTTTTTTACATGTTTTACATGTTAAGTATCTTTTTGCTTAAAAAAAGATAAATTTAAAAATTGTTGTTTGTATTATAAATTTATTTAGTCTCATACTAAGATAATATTGTTGTGATGATCAGCCAGAACTTAGAGAATTTTTATGATAAAATATTTGTGATTTAGTAAATAAATTGAGAGACTGGTGTAACCCGAGCATCTCCGAATATGTTATCTAGAAGAATGAATAAGAGCTATAAACAGGTTTTGTACCGTATTAAAAACATTCAAATTGTGACAATGTTGTCGTTTTTTCTCTATAAAATTTTTAGTCTGATCGTTCAAAACTAAATTGTGGTATGTTTCGAAGAAGAAGAATACGTAATAACAACTGTTTATTTGATCCTTTTATTGATCTATGTCGTCAACCAATATAGCGTGTGTAGTCAGTCGTCGTGTTTCTTTTTCAATCACTGTGTGGCCGAGGCATAATTTATTGATCCTTTAAATGCAAACAATATCTACAAAGCATGTCTTTCTTTACATAGACCAGCAACAAAAACAATGTTCTCACATTATTTTTTCATTTAGTTCTTCCTCTTGCGTATAAGTGAGTATAAATTTATACTAGAATTTTCTACATAGAATTTTGATTAAGTCTTTTTGTTAGTCATTTGTGTTACACATCATATCGCTTTCTCATTTTATTCTTGTCTATTGACATGATACTTTCTATCCATATAAAAAAGAAACTAATTCAACTATGGTGAAATTATTACAAAGTAATGTTTGGGTCTCTAATGCCAAATTTTAGAATTCTAGAATTTTTGATTTTAAGAATTGAAGAATTTTAGAAATCTATCAAAGAAATATAAAATTCTAAAATTTTAAAAATGCACTATTCTGATATTTGATTTCATGTATGTTACATGTACTACATAAAAGCGGCGTATACTATAATTTTAGAATTCATGGTAGCGCCATATAGTACTTTTTTTACTTTTCCGACAGCTCTCACTCACTCGGCTTAAAAACGAAACGTTTTGCTAGGCAACGCTAGAGTGAAAAGCAAAAAGTTTCCTTGAGTTTCACTCTGTGGACTTATAAATATATATTTAATTTCTTTTAATGCTTGTGTTTTGCTTTGTTGATATTATTCGTAGTTTGTTTGTAGGTAAATAATATGTGGTGGTATTTCATTCTAGTACAAGAAGCTCTTGTGAGAGTGAAATGCTACGCGTATAGAACGCCAGTTTTTTAGCGATATGATTCATGGGACATGTCTATTTAAAATAACAATGTAAAAACTGGTTATATATTAAAATTTGTTTTCATATTTAGTTCCAAGTTCACTATTTTTTCCTTTATTTTCTTTCTCAGAAGACTTCTGTAGTCAATTATCAGGATACATTTTTTTGCTGAGATAGCAGTGATGTTCGGTTTTTTCCATTGAATTACTACTGTATGTCAAAAACCACCACAAGTGACTACTAGAGAATCCTTCCAAATCTTACAAAAACAAATACTTTGTTTTTACATAAGATATTTTTCAGTAGAAAAATGTGTCCTATTTGATACAAGCACCGCAGCGGAATTACTTGACAGATGCAAATATTATTAATTTTATACGTCTAGACTCAAAACAGGATTTTATAGTAGTCCATTGCTAAAGTGAAAATCTAAAGAATTAGCATCACCATTAGATTTAGCAGAATATCCTTAAGTTTCAGAAGATATGTTTATTGGTTTAGAACTTATGAAGATCGTATATATTGGACATGCCAGGGACATTGCTCTTGCTTGTCGGCGCAAGCTAGGTGCACTGAGCCGTGTCTTTGGACTCGCTCCGTCAGAGGTTCGGCGTCGAATCTATCTTTCTTCTATTCTTCCTAAACTTGATTACTGTTGTGCCTTATACGATAGTTCTTTTTCGCTTTCTGTACTTGATTCTGTAAATAATCTTGATTCTCGTGTTATTTCTCGTAATTTTGACTATCGCTTTTCTGGCTCTTTACTTGTATTACAACTTTCTCTTCCAAACCTCTCTCTTCGCCGTAAATATTTTCGACTAGTGCAGTTTTTCAAAATTTATCATCGTCTTAGTCCTCTTTCTATCTTTTACTCTATTCATCGTCCTCATTACTCTTCCTTACGCTGTCATCATTCTAAATATGTTCGCATTCCAACCTCTGTCAATGGTTTTTCTTCTCAAACAGTTTTCTCTTCTTTTTACTATTCAACTATTACTGACTGGAATAAACTTCCTGAGTCAGTTATTTGTTTTTCTTCATTAACGTCTTTCAAAAAGGCACTAGTTCAGTATCTTTTACAGTAAAATATCAGCTGTGTTCCTAGTCATAATTCACTTGTATTGGTTGTTTCTCTAAAGTTATTTTACTTGTGTCTATCTTCTATTGTTACTTTTACATCCTCGTCACATATTCTAGTCTCTTGTTCTTTTCTTTTGCTTATTTCTGTTATTATTTTTTAGTTTTATTATTTTACTTATTTTCTTTTTGTTTACCTATCTCTTTTTATTTTGGTTTGAGTCATCGATATTACAGGTCATGGACGTTTGATGACTCTCGAGTGATTCGAAATAAACAAATGGAAAGGTGCTTATCGAGTGTAATTCTCACGCGTCTTCTTTTTGATCTCAAATGCTCAAAATGATGAGCACTACAAAATGCTGCTAAATACACTTTTTTCGGTCGTATTTTCTAATTATAAGCTAACCGGACCCAGTACAGCGATTTGACTGGTACCAACCAAAACCGACCGGTTGATAACCAGACAGGGCGTCGATCTGGTTGCATCTCTCATTCATTAACGAAAGAAAAAATGACTCACTGACTGATCTAGGTAAAAGAAATAACAGTCAACACTTCTTTCGAAAAAATTTTAACTTGTACAATAAAATCTGAGAGGAAATGCTTCCTTTATAAATATTAAAATATAATCTATTATTTAAATAAGTATCATTTTTATTTCTTTTTATTTCACCTTTTCATCTAGACAGACATGTTGACTAATAATGATACTCTATAATGTAGCCGTACAAAAATGGACCAATAGCGATACTGGAGAAGTTGTGCGCAAGTGTGCGCTTAACTTTTGCGCCTAGCTTCCCCGGACGACTTATTTTCGGCTAAAAGAAGACAACCATTTTTAATGCATAAAACTCTAATTAAATTCGATTTCATTTTGAAACGAGGACAGGTTTATTGAGAGATGGTAACTAAAGATTGCCGGCAGACTGCTTGAAAATACCAAAATTGGAATAGAAAGCAAGATGATTGTCGTTTTTTGTGAATAGATGAGCGGAGAAACACCTATGCACCGTATCATTAGAAAATAGAAGTGAAGAAAAATTGATTCACAGTTCGTCACTCGGCTGGCCCTTGAAATTGACTTACTCAACTTGGGTAAAAACACTTTTTGAATTTGATGGACACTGATTTTCCTTAAATTTAATGCTAGTCAGCGGAAAATATATGCGTATAAAACAGAGTTTAAGGCTGCTATCGTTCCTCAAAGCAAGAATTTGTTTTTATTTATTTGTTTTGTCTATTCGGTTCCAAGAGATTATAATTAAATGCTTTGTTGATAACGCTTAGACTAAGACGAAATTTTTTCACGAGAAGTGCGAGTCATGAAAGGTACCGACGTATAATAATAGTGACTCTAGCCAAACAACAACAAAAGAAACTAAGAGAGCAAACACATACAAGAAAGAATCAATGTACAAAACAGACAAAAAAATAAAGAGTAAATAATGAATAAAGTAAAAGATTGAGCTTGTTATAATTGTAAACATGACTGAGTTTTATTGTAGAAGATACTGAGGTAGAGCTATTTTGCATGACGCGCAAAAAGGTGAGTGAATGACTGATTTTGGTAGTTTATCCCAATCACTAACTGTTAATACGAATCTCGACTGTCTTTGTCAATTAATTCGATAGAAGGATTCGTGTTTGAATCACTATCTGCTTTTTTGTATCATAATGTTAGAAAGAGTAATTTCAACCATGTGGATAAAGAAAAATACTTCTAACTTTAGCTACTTCCCTCAAATACTGCTTAGAATACTACCACCCATGTTCATCCACATAAAGTAAACTAATCGTAGAGAATACCACTCAACACCAATCAGTCAGTCAGCGATCTTAAATACTCAAAAATTAGCAACAAATACTATGGCAAAACATTCCGAAACTAATCGATATAATAACTATAAGAAACAGCCATCCACATATTTATTGTAATAAAAGCCATCCAAAATAGTATTATAAAAATAGCACGGAAGGAATAGCACCAAAAAAAAAATTAAATATGAGCATGTTTGCCTTAATTACAAATAAATTATTGGATTTGAACAAACAAAAAAAACTACACTGGAAATATCAGCGTTCTTGATTAATGAGGGTGAACTGGTTACGATTGTTCAATGGATGAAGACCCAGACGATAGATCTATATCGTTGTTGTCAACTTGTTGAGATTGATCATGCTCCTGAAAATAAACAAACAAAAAACAATGTTAGTCGTTCCTTCAAGAAATGTTTAACTGTTGAAAAATAAACTGAAACGAAAGACCTTTGAATGAATGAAAGTTCCTACAACCATAAAAACTAAAAAATTTATGAATCACTCTATTAACCACATATCGTAACTGTACCTAAATATTCAGGCATTAATTTGTAGATTAGTCTTTTACAAATTAACAACAGCTATGAATAAAATTCAAATATATTTTAAATTCTGACATTTCGATCTTCAAACAATCATTTTCAAGAAAATTATAAAACATCATTGGACTTTACACTAGTGTAAACTGTAAACATAGTTGCCAACCTGTCATTCTCCCAACGAACACGGAACTTTTTTGCTGTCCAGAATTTGTCCGGAATTGGAGATTCTGTGCTTTCACCTGTTTACGACATTTATAAAGTTCAGTATAGTCAGCTCGCGGTGGAATAGAAAATAATTTTATAGGTTGTTCGAGAAGTCATTCACTTTTCTTTCATTCGTCAAAATCGAATGTCAACTGACTTAATTTCGGCGGAATTAAAGATACCTCTAAATGCACAGATCTCCTGCACAGATATATATAATTATTTGTTAGCTAAACCAAATTTACTAAAATCGATATGTTCAGTTGAAAAATATTCGTTCAAAAGACATTCATTTGTTTCTAAATTTTATTTTAAAACATAGAACCAAATGGAGTGAATATTTTTGCGGTTTAGAATCAAAAACCGGTGATTTTCAATAAAAAAACGTGTCCGGAATTGAAGATAAAACTTTCCAGATGTTAAGGTTTTTTCTCCGGATTCTATCCCGAACGGTTTTCTTGAAAAAGATTCTATGAAGATCGAAACAGAATTTAAAATAAATATATTTTCACTTAATTCATAGTTGGTGCTTCGAAAAACAAGATTCTGATCGCCTGTATGTTTCACATCAGTGCAAAAAACAAAGCAGGTACTAAACGGTCGAATTCAATACTTACATATTGCGTAACAGCAGCTATTATCAATTTTACTTGTTCTAAATTGTCCGTCATTTGCGTTTGATAATCTGAACAAGTAAAAAAATTTCTTTCACGTCATGTTGGGAAAAAAATTCTGGATTTTCCAGTTTAATAATGGCTAAAGATGCTTTATACTAGAGTTTGTAACTAATCATATATATTCACTTTTTTACGTTTCTTATGAAACTAATTATAAAGACAGTGATCAAACGCACAATTTACCCCTTTCCATTTTCGTTCTCTTTCCAGAGTTTTTAAAAGTTTTTAACAGTTAGCAGTTTTTTTATTCGAATGCAAGACCAAAGTCTGCATTTGGTTTCGCATCATAACATATCTTCTGTTATGCAAAGAGGCTTATGTCGCTATCTTTTTTACAATTTCATTCTGTAGTAATAGCTAATAAATAGAAAACAAAAAAAGAATTACCCTCTATTCTAATCTACTCCGTCAAACTTTCTCTCTTTCTGCGTGCAGATCAACTCTTACCTCGTGCTTGTTGTATCCATAATTCCAATGATTTTTGCAAACCTTGCAACGTCAACACAATCTGTGATTTATCAATCACAGCAATCTAAAACAATTTGGCTATCAACAGTAGTGACAACTATTCCTATAAGACAAATCTGAGTTTCCATATTTACTTCTTTCTCAATTCTGAGGCACTAAAATTTTGGTTTTGGCTTTTTCGAGCTTTGCCATTGTTGTAAATGTTTTCCTCATGATCAACTGCTCACACAACAGTAAATCAGCTGATGATCTTCAAAGAGTCACAAACAACCTTTGCAGTTGTAAAAAAAGGAAATTTTTTCGGAAAAATAACTACTACAAAAACAGTTGGCTTTCGTTCGAAGTAACATTTATTCCGAATGATCACTTACTGGTGAAGACCTTGTTGGAGAGTCCGATGTTGTTGGTTGACAGATAATATCAACTAAACTATTCTCCTAAAGGATATTAATGCTCATGAAGAGTCTTGTTAATCAATAGTAGGATTACTTACAAACGGAGCATCAAGGATTCGATCCACCAATACATTAATGGTTGTTTCTTCAATCAAATCTATGGGATTGGATGTTGCCATTTTATGAACTCTGAAAGAAAAGTATACGATATATATAGAATATAAGAGTAAAACTATACACATTCTTGTTATGTAATCCAGTTACACAAGCAACTAGGCAGACTGCCTTTATCTGAGATGCAATATTATCGTTTCGTTCGTTATTCTTCTAGTGTTTTCTTTTTATCATTCTAGTCATATTTCGTCATCTTCTATTATTTTCGATTCATCAATTTTATCTAGTCAGACTTCATCATTTTTCTATTGTTGTCATTCATTCATTTTATGTTGTCAGATTTTCGTTGTTTCCAGTACTACAAATAGGCTTACTCTTTCCCTAGAGAGTCAGATTGCAAGTTTACACTTTTCTGTGTTTTATTGTTGTTTTCTCGTTATATTTTCTTTAAACGCACGTAGAATTTTGATACCTTCTCCTATTCGGTGGTACAAAACAAGCAATCTCTGGTGACACGGAAGCCTTACAAGTATAGTGAATCAAGCCACTTAACAATTCTTTAGTGAAATATACGAATGTTCACTTTTTTTTAGCTGTAGTCCACCCATTTAGATTTCGCTCAAACTGTACCAGTTGGTAGAGTACACGTCGAAACATATATTCTGAAGTTTTCTAGGCTTGTAGGCATTATCTGAGCTGGGCAACTCAATTCAACTCATCTTTTGAGTTGAAATGAATTGAATTGGATATACTTTTTCAGAGTTAATGAATTGTGTCGAGTTGAATTGAGAAAAGTTCTCGGAATTGGTGAATTGAGTTGACAAAGAAAAAGTTATAATGAAGGAATTGAATTGAATTGAGTTGAAAAATGTTTTTATAGATCTTCAATTCAATTCAATTCAAAAAAAAATTACTGATTTAGCGAGAGAAAAATTTTATAAAGCAAAGTTTCATAAAAATAAAGTGGTTTGTTTTTAAGGTTTTGTTAAAAAATTGACCAATGCAATGTCTCTAATTTCTCAGCATTACAGCTATACGGTTCAGTTCAAAAAGGCTCAGTTCAAGGTCTGAATCAATTCTATTCAATTCATGAACTGAGTTGAATTGAATTAGAAAAGTTTTTTCAACATACAGGAATTTTAAAAAATTTCTGGAATTCAATGAATTGAATACAGTTGAGTTGAGAAAAATTTTCAATATACATGAATTGAATTGAATTGAGTTGCAATTTCCTCTTAATAAATTGAATCAAATTGGGCACCTTTTTGAGTTGAGTTGCCCAGCTCTGTGGCTGAGAAAAAAATTAATTACTTCAAAAATTCATGTCAAATTTTGAACATTGCACTTTTTTTTAGAATTTTTCCTAATCAATAGTCTTTCATGATAAAAGTCTAATTCAAACGCAGAACGAAAGAAATGCCCAGAGAACATAACTAGAGCAAGAAAAATAAAAACTTGTGTTCTTTTCTTCCTGTTTAGGTTTCACATAGTAGTCTATCGATCTTTTTCACAGGTAGATAGTTCAAAGTGTCCTCTGCAAAATGAGATCAAAGCAAAAGTTTCCTTATGCTAAGTTCGACA